GTAACTGCCCGCGTCGTGACCTTTGTGTTTCTATATGTGCCTACCTGATATGTATCCTGATCGTCAATTCCCGCTTTCCGTACCCATTGGGCCAACAGCTGGGCTAGGTTCGCTGCTGACATATTAGTATTATTGTATTAGTGTACTATACTTTATCCAGTGCCTTGGAAATACTATTATGCTACATATATCCCATTGTAACCCATGTAACATTCTCTTCCTTAATATGTCCATATTCTGCTAAATAATTATTCTTGGTCTACTTGTACAACCATATTTACGTCAACTGCTGGTATCATATGTACTTGTGCTCACTATAGTGCTGCCGTACACTAGTTATAGTTTCGCTAAGGGAGAACAACATCGAGAAGAAAGAAAAAAATACAAGGATAGAATAACAAGAAGAGAAAGAAAACAAAAAAAGAACGAACAAAAAAAAAAAGGACAGGAAAAAAAGTACATTACCCTACCGTACACGCGCAACACGTCATGAATAACGCCCGCTGCCGCGTGTCTACACCGGTCTCCACTGCACGCCTTCACACACACTGTCTCTGTGTGTGCGTACACCTAAAACCCCGCAGTATAACAACCACATCAATTCGTCCTTCTGCGTCCTGCCGGCGGTCCCGTCGCACCAATGGTGCCGAGCGTGTGGAGCGACCGCGTGCGCGACAGTTGGGGCGACACAGGGGATCACAGACATGTGCATGGAGGGATGACGTACAGGAACAACAGACCGACAGGGGCCAACAGTGTGGCAACGACGCAAAAGGGATCGAGCATGCGGATACAGCAAAAATAGAAAGTTATATGGAGGCAGATACGACATATTGGAATCAGAACTTCTGGAACGTAATCAAGCAGAGTCGACTATTAGACACACAGTGTGAATTAGGGAAAAAAATACACGGCCGGATCAAGAACGTGATAGCGAAAGTAAATCCACCAGCCACAGCGCCGAAAGTGAACAAGGCTCGTCCTAATACAGAGGGAGGCGCGAAATCAGCAACACCGCAACCTAAAGACTCTGGTGCATCAAAAGCGCAAGGGGGGCAAACGGCTACGACACCCGCCCCTGATCCAACACGGCCTACAGTGGCGCCCGCGCCAGCCAAATCAGCACCAGCCAAGTCGGTCAAGCCAGCACCAGTAGCGGAGAAAGCGGTGGTAACGGGACCGGGAACGAAGCCGGGGACGACGACGGCATCAGCTGGTGGTGGTGGTGGTGGTGGTAGTGGTGCTGCCGGAGCAGGCACCGCGAAGGGGAAGACCGTGAAGGCTGGAACAGGGCACGATTGTGATGCAGACAGAGCACGGCCGCGGCGGAGTAACGCCGTGTATGTGGTCACCCCACGTGATGTAAGTTAAATTACACAGCGAGCGGAGACATGACGCGGACGCCGGACTGGAACACACAGGAATTTATTCATACGCTTACATGCATATATGTCACGGTGTACATGCATTAACGCCGAATAATATAGTTAACACGTGCTCATGAGGACTTTTTTCATGTCCATGTGCAACACGTAGGATAATGAATGGAACAAGTGGAAGACAGTGTTGGAAAATTTTAAGAAATATATGGATGAACACACAGACCTAGCGGCTGAGTATGGCGCAAACTGTGATAATAGTGGTTGGGATGATGTAAAGGACCAGCGGCATTATTACAAGGGACAAACAGTAGCAGATGTCGTACGGTGCAGAGTTATGAGTGTTGCATGGGCCTTCGCAAACAGGTGGGATATGCCTGGGACTAAGACGAACACGGACGACACGCAGCAAATGGACCCAGAAGAAGAGAATATGTTAAGGTGCGAAGTAGCAAATACATTTGGACACTTACTGCAGACCAAATATTGTCCGGGACAGAATCAGTGGATAAGAGGTGTAGAGTATTCACGCATAGCATTCACGAAAATGAACAGCTCCGGGCAAGATGGAGTGGGAGAAATCAAAGGTCCCGTTATAGACGGCACGTGTACTGCATGTGGGTACAAGGGCCATGAGAGGCTATCGAAAGCCATAAATTGGAACGTAGTAGAGTGGCTCATGCAGGAAGGACAAATAACGGCAGAAATAACAGCAATGGAACAGGCATGGCCGTGTGAGCAGTCTTGGCACCAGTATATTAATGAGCTGGACCCCGCGCACAACCCTATTACGCACGGGCCACGAGACTGGAACAGTATCCACGACCGTTTGAGCGACGCAGGGAAGAAGAAGCTAGAGACAGCAGAGAAGGACATGGAGGGAGAAGTCAAAAAGATAATTGAGACAGTCCAGCAAGCCAGAGACGGCATACTGCAGAAAGCAAGGCAAGCGTTTCAGGAAGTGCACAAGAACGCGCACAAGGACGCCACCGAAACGACACGTAAGAATACGAGTTGTAACACTTCAAACATACGGCCGATGCCGACTATGGCCGCATACGCATACGGCACGCACACGAACACGACCGAATACGCATACGCGGCCCATACGAATAGTACGGATGCTGCCACAACACGCACACGGCAAGAACAACACACGGCGGAAACAGCACAACAGCACAGCGCGGCATATCTTGGCTGTGCCCAATTCGTTGACGTTGCTAGGCGACTAGTGTAGACGAGGTGTGTGTGCGTGCGGCGGCGAAGACTGTGTAGCGACGGCAGCGGACGCTGGACTAGATGACGACGACAAATAAAAGTGTACGACTACCATCCAGCACGACCCAGTCCACCGAGTTCACCGAGTGCGCAGTCCACCGAGTCGACCCGACCGTACCACACCACACCGACCATTTCCTTGCTTTCGTTTTCTTTTCTTTCTTCTTCTTCTAACACCGTCCGCTTGCTGCCGCCTGACCCAGTTCACCGAGTCCATCTCGATCCATGCAGCCGACCCTACCCTGCCGCTAGCTGACCGCACCGTCCCGGCCCCTTCGGTCTGTACCACTTGTGTCCCTTTTTTTTTCATCGTCTTTTCGTCTTTCTTTCTTATTGTAGCTAAGGCCACTGACAAAACGGCACAAGGGACGAGTAACGAGAAGAACGACGAGAAGAGTAAAGAGGAGAAAGTAGAGAACACAGGAGAGAACAAGGATGACCAGCAGGATAAGGGAGACAAATCGCTGCCCGCCGCAGCGCCGGGAGCAGCCGTAACGCGGTCAGATCCAGATCCGGAGGACGTTGTGCAACCACAAGCACCGGCATCTCCAGTATTACCAGCCAGACCACCACCACCACCACCAGCATCCATCTGCCCCCAGGGAGAACCAGGATCAAGAGCAGCATCTTCCGGTACAGGAAGTACAAGTAGTGGAACAGGTGTAGGCACAGGGGCACCATCAGCGGATACTGAACAAACAGGTAAGTGCTCAAAGCCACCCCTGTCTGCCACAGTCGTAAATGCAGGCGCAGGTGTCCAGGGAGCTTCATCGATTACCACTATCACTTTTGGAACGAGTTCCCGAACTCATGATGACTGTGACAAGAAGTCCAAAGACTCGGGACCAGGTAGTGTCCTGAGTGAATTTCGACATCAAAAACAAAGAGAAAAAAAAAGAAACAACAATTTCCGCAGAGAGAAAAAAAAAAGAAACAACAACTTTTCCGGAGAGAGAGAAACCAAACGTCGAATGAGCAGGGCGATGGGTCGGCCGCGGCATGTAGCGGCCGGTAGAGATGTCGACACACACACTGTGTCTGTGTGTGTTGTGTGTTGTGTGCTGTGTGGGAGACAGAGAGAGTCTGTTCCCGGGGTGGCAACTTGCCCCCCTACCCCGTGCTTCCATGCCCCCGTCTCATGCCCCGATGCCTGCCCCCGTGGCACCAATGGTGCCGACCGTGGCAGACCGTGTGGCTAACCATGCACCCCAACAAACGCCGCAAAAAACTTTAGTTTGAACACTTCTTATATTTTCCTTTTGACCTCCCATTCAGGCACTGAAGGAGTAGACAGAACGACGTCAAGGAGTCCAGGCGCGCCAGCAGGTGGAAACACTGGTGATCAGAAGGATCCGCTTAAGCCGGAGGAAACGGCGAAAGAGAAAAGTACTATTGCAGCTGCACGAGATACGAGTCAGCACACACCAAAGGACCCCCAGAAACCTCACGATCATGTGGACAACCCCCCTACGACCAATACCCTGGATGGCAGTAGTAAAGATCAGAGCGATAAGTCCAACACCAGACCAAAGGAACAGCCCACTATTAAGGACCCTGTTTTTGACGCTGAATTCTGGGATTTTGTTACCGGTGTTTCTCCTAAGAATGATAAAACGAAGAATAAGGATGAATTTGGTCCACTGGACGCTAATATACCTGGTCTCACTGGCACAGCATGCAGTGGGAATGAGAAACTCTGCTCCCTTAATACTGCGTACCGCGGCACAGGTGCATCCGGTCCTGCCTCCCCTCCTAGTACTACTAACCATGAAGGTACCGGTTCTAATAAAACAAATGGAGGTAATGATTTTGGATTAGGAACAGATCCTCCAAAACCAGAAGGCGAATTAGGAGGAAACTATGGACCACGCCCTGCACAGGTTCCTCATCCTATAGGCCCAAATAAGGGTCCGTCCAATGATGGTGGTCCAACCCCGCCCGACCTAACCGACACGGTCCTTACCGCCACTACTCCCATCCTGTTTTTCGTCACTTTCGTCACCGTGGCCCTCCTTGGTTATTCCCTTTGGAAGGTAAGCACAGCCACAAGGCACTCACACAACAACGCACAACACACAAGCACGCACAAATATAACCGAGTGCAAAATGGACGAACGACTGTTTCCGGCCATATTCCACACCCTGCGTCCCCTTGGCCTCATGTTCCCACCACAAATAAGCGGGAAACTTAATACACCAACTTACTCTTGCGATTAGTCGACAAAGCAAAAAGAAAAAAAAAAAGAAAAAAAGAACAGAAAACGCACTACGCACGTATGTCCCTAAATGCCGGATACATAGCACATTGGAGGCAATTGAGGTTGGGTACGTGCGACACAATATATTGGATTACTTCAGTACACAGAGTGTACAGTATATCGATGTATGATGTAATACAGCACTGGCGTATGCCTACTCCTGTAATTGTAACGAATTATTATAAAAAAAAAAAAAAAAAAAAAAAAAAAAAAAAAGCACTTAACCCTAAATCATGGGACCCTTATTCTTCCACAATATACACATCATTATATTCCATGCTCCACCGCTAAGAAAGCGTGCCGCCCCCTTATTTGTTGATGTAGTGAAGAATAAATACACCGCCCTATGTCATGCACAAAGGACGCATTAAACGCGCCCGTTCCACAAAACATCCTTTAAATCCGTAACATAATGCATAAGCCTACTTGTTCTGTCTCGACAATGCATATTACGCTATATTCCTCTTATGCGAACTGTTATATACATCTTAAATCATATTTTTCATTTACATTATATGAAAACACTTTAGAAACGGGTTAAACTGAAATAAATCACGTGCACAGGGGAAAATGCAAACTTAGAAAGTGCTTTTTTTTAACAAGAA